AGTAGTAGTAGTAGTAGGTCTGCCTCTGTCCTGAAACCACTCAGGACATCAAAGCTTAGCAAACCAAACTCGCCCGGTGGCCCAGAAGGTGAGCTTCCAACCAACCGTGTGAGGTATTAACCTGCTTTTTTGAGGTCCAACCCTGTGAGCGCATGTGTCAAATGCCTTCTAGGTCCAGCCATTGTTGTTTTCTTGGGGGGGGACTTATCTCCAAAGAAAGCCGCAAGAATGTGATATGCTTCAGCTCATCAATTGAACCAATTCATGCATAAACAAACACCTCAATATTCCCAGCTGGGCCCTGGGCAAGCAACAACCCACATCTGGCCACTTGGGGGAGCATAAATACTGTAGCACTTAGATACAGTACCTACTGCTCACAAAGGTCAGCCACTTAAAATGTCAAGAAACATCTCAAAGATCTCAAAGAATCATCTTCAGATCCACCCATCTCAAACATGTCATGATTTCTCAACCCTTTTGAACCAGCTCCGCTCGAACCACCTCCCTGAGCAAAGCTGCAGCAATTTGATGCGTGGGCCCAACTCGCTGTTCATCACCTGAGGGCACAGCGTGACGAAACGTGTGATTAATAAATATGATTAAATACTCAGAACCTAAGTGACCCCCACTACTCTTCGAACAACAAATCAAAAATATATGGTCTCAAAACAAAGGCCACGTGGGTTTTGCTGAATAAACACTCCAGAAAGGTGCGGCATAATATCCTGTAGCGGACACCGTCCTCCTGTGTTCCTGTCTTGCTTCCTCTAGAAGTCGTGTTTTTACCTTTTGTTTCCGCAGGGTGTCTCCCAAAAGGTTTCAACTGTTCTGCAGTTGATGGACAAAATCCCAAGAAAACAATGTTTAATCACACTGCACTATCTCAGAAGCAGCAATTATGGAAGCCTCTGCCGAGTTGACATCCTGGTGCTTTTGGCAGGACTCCGCCGTGGGACTAACACTCTACAAAAAGTCAAACATGCAGAATGTAGACCCAAGTCCAAGTAAACTGAGCAAGTTCGATCAAATGTCATGCTGCCATCATGCCATCATGCTAAAAACCATGCGCGGCAAGTTTCGGTGTTGATGGTGTCTGGTTCTTCGGGGTGGTCCAGGGTGGCCGATCGGTACGACGGCCGTGACCAACACCCAAGTCACCCGTCGCTGTGGAACAAAGAGATGTGTAGCGGCCTGGGATCTGATTTAAACAAATACACAATATGATTACATTACATGGGATTACCTATATAACTACATGATATACACAATATGTATATGGGCATGCACTATATAAGACAGTAATGATCATTAATTACATCTTAACTTATATCTGTTGGACTCATATGTTGCCCCTCGCCCGTTTTTTTCGTGGTCAAAAGCATGTTAACTCGGTTCCTCTCAGCTCAGGAGGTCAGGTCACTTGCCCTGCGATCAGCTGCATCTCCAAGACGGGCACAGAGCCTGCGAGGAGGAGCTTTCTGCGGGGAGCACGGAGGCGGAAGGAGATCTTTTTGAGTGCGTGGCGTCCCAAGGACTAGCCAGCAAGAAATCAGTTGTCAACCAACTTACATTGTAACATGGAGGTCCAAGAAAATTGAAGACAAACCACCCGCATTGCCTCTCCGCAATGGTGGGAGCCGGGGGGAACGAGCCAATAGACATGGTCATGTAAGGGTGAAGACCGACAGGTTATATATATATATATAGACATTAGAAGAAACTTAATCTGACATGTTGCAACAAACGCCTCTTCTGATAAGTTATGACACATGCACATCCAAGCCTGCATACCTGATGCATGCATAAGTCTTATGTATAGTCTTCCCAGTTCGCAATAACTTGGAAAAAGCCACGTAGACGTGGGGAACTCCCCACGTCTGTGTTCAATCTCAAACTTCGTAATTAGTAAATCGCTGGAGCCATGTGCTGTGCCAGTGCAGCCATGGGAAAAAAGGAAACAACAATGGCGCTGAATCCTGTGCAAACTTTGTCTTCAATCTGTAGTAGGCCCTTGAGGACCTACCATGCAGGGATAACAAAAAAAACACTTGTGAGTCTGTTGCGTTTTGAAGTCTCCCGCGCCAGTTGGCTTCGGAAGCTAGGCACCTAGGTTGTTGAGCATCACGCAAAGTGGCACCTGCTCATGGATGCAAAGGCCGAATAGGCATGGTAGGGTGAGGCACTCTCCCCGGTCCCCAAATGAAGTAACATGAATACGACTTTAAGGAAGCAAATTGTGTGTGTTCGCACTTCTGATTCTGCTTTATGATCACATCATTATCAAACCAAACATGCAATTCTTACAGCGGCATGTGTGGGATGTGTGCGGCAAAAACCATTCAGCCCAAACCTTCATGCAAGAAATTCCCTGGCGCACCTACCTCTACACTATTACTTCGACTGCCTCCCATGTCGCAACAGGCGCACCTTCCGAGGCACGTGCTTGGCCAATTGCGACATGATGGTCTCAACGATCTCCTGCCCCGGGCGCCACCGGTCGGCGCCACCGGTCGGTCGGCGCCAGCGCCGGAATCCACGGTCGTTCCGTCCTTGGCGGTGGTGCTCGCGGTGGCCTTCACCCGAAGGCCCGGCTCTCCATGAATCCCAAGGCCCACCTGCAGAAGTGAGGAGAGTGAGGTCTAAATGGGAGCTGGGAAAGGTGCCACCCTCATGGGAGCTGGGGGACATGAACATGAATGAATCCTGAACCTTGAATGAGTGCGAAGTCATGATTCTGCACTATTCCCTGAACCCCCGAACCCAGAAATTGCATGAAATTGCATCAACGACAAGCATGTTCTGGAACGATTCTTAGAAGTTGCCATGGGCCTCCATCTCATCTGCTGGGATAGGCCGTGCCTTGGACAGCACACCGACACAGCGAAGGATTGCAGTCGGATTGGACTTGATTGAGGCAAAAGTCGTGGAGGGGCCTCCATACCAAAAATACCACTCTGGACTAGTCGGGGCCAGGCTGTCTGGAGTCTTGCCTCTAGAATTTGCTCAAGAATCACACCTTCCAGTCCGTTGAACTGATGGCAGGATGCATCGGGCTCTTTGAGAATGTGCTTCTACCTTCCCAGGCCCTTCATCCTCAACCTTAAAACCTTGAAGCCTCCTCATTGTCATGGATGAAGCTGCAGTGAATCATTGTCCTGTGGCTCACAAACTGAGGCTGACGCCACAGTTCCCACCAATCAAGCATTTAACAATTCAAGACATGCATCATGCATCTATACACTCCGAGCTTCTCTAGACTCTAGACTCTAGAAATAGACCTGATCGAGCCATCATATTAATGAGTGTTAATGTCATCATATATAGTCTGTTCTCGTCCATTCTCGTCCGTTCCCCACGTAAGCCGCCAACGGCGCCCCAAGCACCCCAAGCACCCCTGCTGGAAGCATCCCTGGGATGCTGCACGAGTTGAAGCTGACCTGGGTTGTGTGCCGTGTGCGTGTGTGTGCCGTGTGGTCGTGTGAACGTGGGAGACCTCCACAAACTACATGGCAAACAAACATGAGCGGAGACAGCGGAGGTGACTTCTTGGCCGGTGTTGCAAAAGCGGGAACCAGTCAGCCACACAATATATTCTGGCTGAATTGAACACGTGGCCTTTTTCACAGCCAATCAGCTGCTCAGCCACTTGAATGGCTGAGTGGCTGGCGCTGGGGGAACCTGCCTAATGCTCATATCGAAGGGTTCCTGGCTGAAGCCTTAGCCAACCTTGAGCATGAACCGAGGGTTCAAACACGATCTCACAGTCCGCACTTTGGCAGGCACAAATGCTGATCTCATGCCAGTTAGTAAAGGTTCAAGGAATGCTTCAGCTCTAGGGTTTCTAGGATGATCTATATATAGCAACTGACTGCGAAGATTGGTTGTTCTGATGCTGAAGATCAATTTTCACGTTCTTACCTCCTGTCCGTTTGCTAAAACAATGCCCGAAATGACAACGAGACAAATTACGCAGCAAAATGATACGCAAGAACACAACAAACTGATGCTGCAACGAACCATCTTCCTTCCCATGTACAAACATGCGCTTCACAGAACCTAACGCTACAGGAAACTGACTTCCAAGGGAGTTTGCAAACCTTGTGTTGCACTTCTGTGCTTTTTGTGCTTGTCTATTGTCTATGCGGGAAAATTGCACTTCTCAGCGGAGTGAATGTCCATCTGGTCTACGGCCCCGACTCCTTGTGTGCGCACCGCGCTGGCGGCAGCCTCCGCCTCTAAAAAGACCTCACAATGTACGCACCACGCTAGGTTCGTTAAAAAAGGATCTTTTAGCTATGCCTGCCTTTGCCTGTAGCATTCATTGTAGCTATGCTGAGACAAACCATCCATATCCATGCATCAGCTTTCTGACCTTGACCTCCAAAGAAGGTTGCAACAAAGATTGCTGATGTGGAACTCTCATGGTTGTAACATTGATTCAAACTTCCATTGAGTTCAATCAGAAGCTCGGTTTCCCCTCTGGTTCGCCCAGGCATCAAAACCAAAAGAAATCACTAAATTGCGCAATATAGTCACTAGACTGAGCGTCATCACATCTTGGTTCTCAACCGAGAATACCCATCAGTCCAAGAGTCTTGATCCGACCTCTTTCCATTTTTTGTCCGTTTCAGCAAACGACTGTGAACTTAGCAAACTATTAATTATATAATCATATGTTTCTTGTGGGTTGAAGCAAGAGTGGGAAATTCTGGCTGAGAGGGAGTCAAATACTGTATCCTTTGATAGACTTGGGACACAAACAATGCCCGATTGCTTGTGAATCAACACAAAATGGGGTGTCTATTAGACTAGGGAGGCCCTCCCAACTGACGTGTATCACTGGCCTCTTCGAGGGGCAACCCGGCGCCCGCTGCTGCACCCGCGATCTTGCACACCAAAAGAGAACCTGGAGCACCGTGCAAATCACAGAAAACAAACAAACAGTAAAGAAAGGGTGGGTAGGTAAACCCTTGACTCTTGACATCAAACCAACCGCAGGTCCGATTTGATTCTTCCAGTAGGCGAACCACCCACAAGGAGGGTGGTACCAGTGATGCACACTACCTACACGCAACTTACTCAATGGGAATGATATGTCTCGAGGAGCATGCAGATTAATAAGGGTTCTTTCGGGGACCATGCTCTTGTTGGTACAATAGTGGAAAGCCGAAAACATGCCTGTTCTCAACGGGATTGAGCCAAAATTGATCGTTTGAGCATGCCCAAGCTCCAACATGCTTAAACTCTGAAAATAACCAGTACAAAATAAACGTAAGTCTGCATGTTTACATCAGCCTGAGTTGATCTTGTTTCAAGGCCCCAAGCATATCTTGCACGTGCCTCCCACGAAGCAGCGGGTTTCCTTTGAAGATGCACTGTATTCACTGTATGTACTAGAGTCGCTTGAGTTCTTTTGTATCCATTTGGGGCTTACTAATTCTACTGAATGCCCCATGTGCCCTCCGCATCTCGAGCAGCATAACCTCGTGGACACAACTGAAGAAACGATCTGCGATCCGTTTTGGCACAGTTCTGCGCCTAGTCAAAGCACCGAGGTCTCCCTCTTGGTCTCGGCTTCCCGAGGCACCAAAATGGACTAAATGTCTTGCATATGCTGCATATGGCATACCGAGCAAACCGAGCAACATCAACACCCTGAGCTTGTTCAATCAGCTTCTGTTTCGGGTAGTTAGGTAAAATGCGCGGAACTTCTGCTCAGATGCAATCGACATCAGCGTCATTAACGAAGGTTAGCAAACAAATCACTAAAGCGGGCTTTCCCATGGTGGCATCTGCCGCCTGCCGCCCTTCAATGCCTACTGCGTGTGGGTAACTCCCACAGCTTTCATTAGCACCTACCCTGCACCTGCCCTCACAAAGCGATGGGACCAATCGCCAATTAGCAACAAGTGGTTCCCGATCGGCCGCAAGTCGCAAGCTGATTGACAGGGAGTGCAGCGGGCACTTGTATATACACGAAAGGCTGGAGCTGCAGCGGATCACCTGCTAGCTAGTGGGCTAGGCCACTAGGCAGTGTGCCGCTTCAAAGTCAAAAGCCGCCACACACATGTGATGGAACACCCAGCCAAACATTCCAACTGCAAACGGCGCCCACACCACCGTCAAGACGCCTCGGTTCGGAGCTTCCGGCAAGGAATGTAATGACTACAGAAGGAAGATAGATTGACCACAACTTTGATTGAAACCTGTATACTGTATACTACCAACTGCGGTGATCTTCTCATGGGGCTGGACTAAGTACAGGGCTTCACTATTCACTCATGTAGACTCCACCATCCGTCCGCACCCACGTCTTGACACCGTGAAGTCGACGTCAGTCCCGCACGTGTCCGTGTCCCCGCACGGCCGTTCTTCGCGCGAAAAGCGTCCATCCCAGATGTACATCGAAATGGAGCGAAACCACAGGGAAATCGCTGTTTTTTTTAGTTCCGTACATCCCCGGGAAGAGTTCGCATCGAAGTTCTGGTGTTTTCACGGTCGAAAAGAAGCAACAGTTCTTACATGTTCTTACCCACCTGGTTGGTGGACTGCGCAAGACTACTTGATTGGTGGAATCTGCAGATCACTAAAACGCCAAGCAGCTCAAGTAGGCATATCTCAGGGTTTTGGAGAATGGTTGATATCCGAGAACCTGGGGCCAGTCCGGTGGCCATTCATCCACATGGACTCATGGGGCCAGTGCTGCAGTGCTGCTCTTTGGTTAGGTCAGCTCAAAGAAAATGCACAAATCGCTTCCACCATGCTCCACCCCCATCCGCGTGCTATTTGAACTGCGGAGGCCTTATAAGTCTGGGGTGCATCTAGGAGAGTGGAAAACACCCCAGGGGGTGCTCCTAGGGATGTGAATGTCCTCTGGTGCTATGCATAAACCATGGTCTGTATTCGTTGCATGTCCATGTGCCAAACCCCAGCTTTCTAAATTCCAAGGAGCTCGGCCAAAATCATATCCTTGGTTGGCATCACTCCCCAGCACTGGTCGGTGGAACGTGATGTTTGTCCAATCCCAAACATGTGGTGATTTCCCAAATCGAATCACATCCATCCCAAACACACCGAATTCCCCAAAATGCCGCAGATTTGGGGACGTCTGCATTGTCTGGCTGCAACATCCAGCCGATCCGACACTTAGATTGTTTGATTGATTCGATTGATTCCAAGCTTGGACCTCTTAATGTTTATGGGTTCAACACACCGGGTGTCTGCACGAATGGGTCAGGAGCACGATGGCGCCAATATCGAAGAGGATGTCGCACGCGGACACCACTGCCAAGTAGATCAAGCTGGTGGTGCCTGAGGAGATGGACGAAAGGGCCCGGACTCCGGACCATGCGACCACACTGCGGAAGGGTCCGTGTTGTTTGAAGAACACAAAAGGATTTTGGCATGTGGCATTTGGTTGCTGCAACTGTCCAATGCACGAGGGCTATGGCGGACCTCTAAACAAACCCACAAGCCATTTGTGTGGAGAGGGTGCAGCCCTTAGCCTGTGCAGCCCTTAGCCTCAAGTCTGCCTCCGTGCCTTGCAGCGTAGCCGTTGTATGGGTTGGGATGCTTCCCTGATCCCATTCATTGAAATATGTGACTCATCCTAAGAAAAGGGAGAAATCAAGATACATACCATATCATACCATGGTAATTTAGCTCTGGGATGTTCCACAATGTTCTACCCACCATCGCTTGTGATCGACCTCCCTCTTCTCGTCTCGCGCCCCTCCGGTCCCGCTTCGCCCCTCTCCTCCCCAGAGGGTGGCGGGGTAACCTCCCCGGGCCTTTAGGAAACATCAAGCCCTGCAGCATGTCGGGCAGCAAGAAGGTGAAGGGATAAACCACCAAAATACTGGACAACGCCGCTGTGAGGCCCCAACCTGGACGCAGCGAGGTGCGGCGGAGGCCTTGTTGGCTTCCAGAGAAAGAGGTTGGCTTATAGTATTATAGGTCCTAGGTGCATGGATCCACTTAAGAGCCAAAATGAGCACACTCTTTGCAGCTGTGGAGAGTTGGGGTTTCCCTGAAAAATGCAGTGTGTTTGTGTGTGTGTGTTTCATGTTTGATCTTTGCTTGCAAAAGCCGCCCGGACTCCATAACGGTCGAAATCTCACCGGCTCTCCAAGAACAAACAATGTCAACTTGTCATTGTGTGGTTCCTTCTTCTCAAAAAGGGCACCCCCTCAAAGAGCCACAGTCAGACTGGATGAAATCCATTCATCAGAACCCTCACTGTCATGTCCAGTTCAATTAGTCCCCTGTCACCTACTAGAGTGATGTGTATACTGTGCATCATATAATATATACATATTAAACTAGAGCAAACGGATTCCTGCTGGCATGATTCGCTTGCACTGTCTTTACTTGTTACGTAACAGGCTACATCTATGACTCTGCACTT